CAGCCCAATTCGTAACCACTACAATGGATTAGTAGCTGGAAAATGTGGAGTTGGCAAATTAAATGATGCTGGAGATTGCACAATAGAATTTTGCAAAACCAGTGACTTCTTCATTGCAAATATCTTTTTTAAACAACAGAAAATATGACTGTACATATGGACTTCACAAGATGGAATACACAGAAATCAAATTGGCTACATCTGTGGAAAGATACAATGGAAAAGCTCCATCTATATCATCAGCCAAGTCAAGGCCAGGAACATACTGTGGAACTGATCATTAATTGTTCATATGCAAGTTTAGGCTGAAGCCCAAGAAAATTAAACCAAGTATGTAAGAGTCAAAATATGATCTTGAACATATCCCACATGAATTTATAAATCATCTCAAAAACAGATTTGATGCATTAGACACTAATAACTGAAATAAAGAAGTTGTGGGATGACATCAAGAACAACATACCAAAAAAGCCAAAGGTCATTAAGTAGACATGGAAGAAATCAAAGGCCAATATGGCTGTATGAAGAGACTCTGAACCTAGGTCTTCTAGCAAATGGAAGAAATGAAAAGGTAAAAGAGCTGAACAGAAAAGTTCAAAGAGCAGTGCGAGAAGACAAAGTCAAATATGAAAATGAAATGTGCAAAAATCTGGAATTAAAAAACCAGAAAACGCTCAGCATTTCTGAAGCTGAAAGAACCGAGGAAAAAGATCAAACCTTGGCTTTCAATATTGAAGGATTCTTCGAGCAAAATACTGAATGATGCAGAAAGCATTATAAGAAGATGAAAGAATACACACAAAGTCACTGTACCAAAAAGAAATCATCTATGTTCAACCATTTCAAGAGGTAGCATATTATCAAGAGACAATGGTACCGAAGTAAGAAATGATGGAATACAAACTGAAATCTTTCAACAAAATGATCCAGCACTGGAGACACTCACTTATCTCTGCCAAGAAATTTGGAAGACAGCCAACTGGCCAGCAGATTGGAAAAGGTCCATATTTGTGCCCATTCCAAAGAGAGGTGACCCAACAGAATGCAGAAATTATAGGGCAATATCACTAATATCACATGCAAGTAAAATTTAATTAAAGACACTTTAAGATCGACTGCAACAGTACATTGACAGGGAACTACCAGAGGTTCAAGCCAATTCAAAGGAGAACACTGACTGATGGATACCATTGCTCATATCAGATGGCTCTTGGCTGAAAGTGAGGATACCAGAAAGATGTTTACCTGTGCTTTATTAGCTATGCAATAGATTTCCACTGTGTGGATCATCACAAGAAAGAGTATTACAGGACACTTAATCATGATCATGAGGACCATGTACATAGACCAAGAGGCAGTCGTTCGAACAGAACAAGAGGACACTGAATGGTTTAAAATCAGGAAACGTGTGCACCAGGGCTGTGTTCTTTTACCATATTTATTCATTCGGTATGCTGAGCAAATAATCCAAATAAGCAAGAAGATGGATTATATGAAAAAGAATGTGGCATGAGGATTGGAGGAAGGCTTATTAACAACCTGTGATCTGCAGATGATAGATACAATCTTTGCTTGCTGAAAGCAAAGAGGACTTAAAATACCTTGCTGATGAAGATTAAAGAGCATAGCCTTCGGTATGGGTTGCACCTCCACGTAAAGAAAACAAAAATCCTCATAACTGGACCGGTAAATAACATGATAAATGGAGAAACGATTGAAGTTGTCAAAGATTTCATTTTGCTTTGATCCACAAATAACTCTCATAGAAGGAGCAGTCAAGAAATGAAACGATGTATTGCATTAGGAAACTCTGCTGCACAAGACCTCTTTAGAGTGTACAAAACAAAGATGGCAGTGTATGGACTGAGGGGCACCTGACCCAAGCCATGGTATTTTCAATAGCCTGATATACATGTGAAAGTTAGACAATGAATAAGGAAGACTGTAGAAGAATTGATGCATTTGAGCTATGGTGTTGGAGGAGAATATTAAAGGTACCATGAACTTCCAGAAGAACAAAGAATTCTGTGTTGGAAGAAGTACAGCCATAATGCTTCATTTCTCATTCTTCAGACATAGTGTCAGGAGGGACTGGTCCCTAGAGAATAATGCCATGTTTGGTACAGTGGAGGAACAGCGAAAAACAGATGGACTGGTACAGCGACAGCAATAATGGGCTCAAGGTAGCAGCAATTGTGAGGCTGGCCCAGGACAGGAGGCACTACGTTCTGTTGTACCTAGGGTCACTATGAGTTGGAATCAACTTGACGCCACTTAACAACAAAAAGGTTTTTAAAAAATTTTTATGTTTCACCAAAAGTACCACTTACCTTAGTCATGTCAGGATACCTGGTGGCTTGGTGTTGAAGAGCTTGAGCACTAACTTAAAGGAACGTGAAAGGAAAGGTCTGTGCTTTGAAACCACAGGACTTCCAGGGAGAAAGCTATGACATTCTGCTTCCCTTAAGATTCCAGCCTTGGTACCCAAAATGGCGGGAGGCTACAAAGGCAAGAAGTGACTGGCTTATAAGCTTTCAAGAGGGAACCTAGATCCAGAGGGCATGGAGGAAGGTAGAATCTCCACTGAGTGGTATCCAATTTGTCTAGGTGGGGCTGATGAAAGGAAATGCGGATAGGTCTCTTGTTATGCAATAGTGAATAATTGTTATCAGGACTGACTGTGAGGGTTGGAAATGTAAACGTACATGTTTTGTAGCAAGGAGGGGTGTGATTAACTTTGCAGTCTAGGAGTGGAGGTCCCTGGAACCATCAAGGGAGAAGAGCGGAGTGCGGGACCCTACCCAGAGAAGCAGTGATGCCAGAGATGGAGGCAGAGATGAAGACGTGGAGAGATGGAGCAGCTGGGGGCTTTAGACACAGAGAGCGAGAGGGACTGTGTGCTGATGACCCAGGAGCAGGCTTGTAGGGTATGCCATTTGGATGGTTGATGATGCATGGAGGGGATTGTAATCATAGCAATGAAATGATATACTATAGGATGAATCTAAAACTAATGTTCTCCCATGTAAACTATCACATAATTCACAATAAAACATTAAAAAACAAAAACTAATGTTCTCCCATGGAAACGATCACATAATTCACAATAAAACATCAAAAAAAAAAAAAAAAAGTGAATGGTCACCCACTCCCAGAAATCATCTCTCAACTAAACCAGACAGACCTATAAATGAACAATGGCACCCACGAGGAACATGCTGCTCTGTGCAACCAACCATAGGAGACCAAAATGGCAGCATTGCCCCCAAAACAGAGCCCAGAAGACAGGAAACCTGGGTGACTGGAAACAGGCAACTCAGGGAGAAGGTAAGAAGCGCATTGTTACATTAATGGGTTACAATTTATGTCATGAAACAAAATATTTCTAAATTATTGAATGGAACCTAATTTGCTCTGTAAACTTTCACCAAAGCTACAATAAAATGTTGAAAAATCCCCCACAAAGCAAAACTGAATGGTCCTTGACATCCTTGTTGTTGTCGTGGAGTCGGTTCCGACTCATAGTGACCCAGTACAGGGTTTCCGAGGCTGTAAATCTTTACGGGAGCAGAAAGCCTCATCTTTCTCCTGCGGATCAGCTGGTAGTTTCAAACTGCTGACGTGAGATTAGCAGCCCGATTTGTAACCACTACGCTACCAGAGTTCCTTTGACATCCTTAGTACTACACAAAGAAGCAACTGTGCCATTGTTAAAATCTGTGATTGTGTTTATATTCCTAACCATAGCACTATATCATTCACCGTGTTTCCCATATGAGATGCATATGGGCAAATCTAAATAATCCCATTCCCTCTATGACTAATATTTTAAATAATTGCTTTAGTTCTTGGTGTAGCTAGTGGAAGGAAATATTAATTAATATGAGTTTCTTTTGTATCTGTCTTTATAGCCATAAAATGTTGTTATAGCTATTTTTTTGTTGCTCAACTGTTGCATTTCTATAGAATACTGTACCTAAATCTATACAACCTGAAAATAAACTGATGTTCATAAAAAAAATAAAAAATAATTCCAGCCTTGGAAACAGTATGGGTAGGTTTTCTACTGTGTCCCATGAGATCATTATGAGTTTTAGACCTCCAGGCGACACACCCCAAGAACTGAAAATCTCAACAACTAAGCTCAGAGTGTCTGCCTCTCGGATGCATGAGGGAGAAATGAAAAAGATCTGAGGGGCGTCACTGCTCTTTGGCATGGGAACTGCTCAGCATTATTTCACATTTTATTCTATTTCCACTACAGAGACAATTGCAATCCCTCTTAATTAAATTACGTGCATTCCAATTGCAGAAGATGCTGCTGGACCCAACCACCTCTTCCCCTGGAGCCCCCATCGAGGTCTCAGAACTTTGGATACATTAACCACTCCCCAAAATACTTCGGACCTAAACCGTTTGTAAATTGTTACGAGAGAATTGATGCATTTGAATTGTGTTGTTGGAGGAGACTTTTTAAAAGTACCGTGGCTTGCCAAAAGAGCTAATCTGTGTTGGAAGAAGTAGAGACAAATGCTCCTTGGATGCCAGGATGGCCAGACTTCTCTCTCATAGTTGGGACATATTATCAGGAGGGAGCAGTCTCTGGAGGTGGGCATCATGCGTGCTAAAGTGGCGTGTCGGAGTAAAAGTGGACAGAGTAAAAATCCACGAGATGGATTTGCAGTGGCAGCAGCAATGGGCTGAGGCTAAAGGATGGTGACGCTGGAGCAGGACCGGGCAGTGTTTCGTTGTGTTGTGTCGGTATGGACTTGATGGCACCTAAAAACAACATACAACTTTACTTTAAACTGTCTGAAACAGCTAAAACAGGCAGAAAGCAACCCTTCTTCTCTCCTCAGTAAACTAACATTCAAGGGTTTCCAAACGTGAATAATGGAGACGCCTTTGTTCCCGCCCATCATCCACGCTCCCGGCCCATTATTGGCCCGTGTCATCGCCCCGCCCCTTGCCTGTGGTCCAGCCCAGGCTCCGCCCCGCGTCGCTGTGGCTTTTCTCGCAGCGCGGCTGCGCACTTTAGTACTAACACGGAAGCGGATTGTGTAGAGAGAAAAATCCCTGTGAGGTGAGTGGGTTTCCGATTTTCTGCTTCAAATCGGATCTCCGCGCGCGACCTCAAGGGTCATCCCAGACGTTAAGGTCCCCGCGCCCGGCCTTCCCAGCCCCTTACATCCCCGCGCGGCTGTGCGACGTCCCAGCTCTCAGGCCCCGCCACCGGCCCAGCGTCCCTGTGTGTCTCTGTAAAATCGTGCTTAGGCGGGTCCCAGCGCCGGCCTTCTGCCCTCGGGCCGTGTGGACGACCCCCGCCCCAGGGCTGGGCCTCACCCGGAGTCTGTGTGACCCTCCCGCCCCTCCTTTTTCAGGGTTGCCCCTCGTGAGACCCCGTCGTAGCGGCCGCCAAGCCTTGTGTCGGTCACGTGAGCTTCACTCTCCTGTGATCTCTGGATTGAAGTGAGATGATGGGGGCGGGAACTGGGGGGATGGGGGGGGGAAGAAAGTACCCTATTAGGATGTGCTGTCTTTTTTAAAGAGTCCTTAAAGCTTTTATTTTTATTTAATGTATGTTGTTGCTTTTCAGTGCCATCGAGTCGATTCAGACTTATAACAACCCTGTACAGGGCTTCCAAGGAGCAACTGGTGGACTCGAACAACCAACCTTGGGGTTCGCAGTCCAGGTTGTTTGATCCCTTATTTGCTTATTTATTCTCCAACAGACTTACTGAAAATAAAAGTTATCTTACTGAATTTCAACTTTTTTCTATCTACTATAATCCTGATCTTCAGAAAGAATCTTCCTGGGCTCCCCTGGGTTCATGTGCTGGGCTCCAAAGTCGGTTTGAACGTCAAGGTCGGCAGTTCAAGCTCACCAGTCACTCCTTGCAAACCCTATACAGGGTCACTGTGGGTCGGAACCAACTTGACAGCAGTACTTAACAACAAAGATATGTTATTATTACATGTGTTGAATTTGTTCTGACACACAGTGACCCCCGTATAGGGTTTCCGACAAGCAGCTAGTGGTGAGTTTGAACCGCTGACCTTGTGGTCGGGTGCTCAGTGCTTACGCTGTAGTGTCATAGTAGGACTCCAATTATAATATTGTTTCTCTTTTTTTAACCTCTGACCCCAAACTTCATTAAATTGCTTTTTAAATTTCCAAATTGTTTTTCTTTTTAAATTGAGTACATTTGATTCAAATAATGAAATCTGCATGCTTTCTCCTCTTAATTCTCTAGTGCTCTTAGGACAGGGAAGCGACAAGTGCACATGGCATTCAGAAACAGACATTTCTTCTCTCAAAAGTGCTGGAAGCGCTAAGTCTGAAATCTTGGCTCCAGCTCCAGGAAGTGGCTTTCCTTCTCTGTTGGCTCCCAGTTTGAGAAGATCCTTGTCTGCTTTAAGTATCTGCACATTGGAGAGCTCCGTGTGTGGAGGCATCAGTCTTCCCTGGATCCATTGTTAAGTGCTGTCCAGTTGGTTCCGACTCAAAAGTATAGGCTTTCCAAGGAGCAGCTGGTGAGTTTGAACTACCAACCTTGTGGTCCGGTGCTTTATCCTACAGTGCCCCACCTAACACATTGCCTTGGTTCTTCTTAGTGACAATGTTGTTGTTAAGTGCTATCAAGTCTGTTCCGACTCATAGCAACCCTATTTAGGGTTTCCAAGGAGCAGCTGGTGAGTTTGAACCACCAACCTTGTGGTCCGGTGCTTTATCCTACAGTGCCACACCTAACACATTGCCTTGGTTCTTCTTTCTTAGTGACAGTGTTGTCATTAAGTGCTATCAAGTCTGTTACGTCTCATAGCAACCCTATTTAGAGTTTCCAAGGAGCGGCTGGTGGGTTTGAACCACCAACCTTATGATTGGTCGTCCAGTGCTTAGCCTTCAGCACCACACTTTTTATCTTTTGAAGAAAAAAATATGTTGCTGGCTGCAAAACAGGGAAACTCCTCACACCTGATAAGGGCTATGAAGGCATCAAGGGTGTTACTCCTCATCCTTAATCCTTTAACAACTAATGATTTAGTCTATAACTGCCAGAGACTCATGGTCCAACCAAGCTGGTACATACTTTGTGGGACGCAATTCAATCCATGACATGTACACTGGAAACATTCCTTGGCACCAAGTGAAAAGTATTTCAGTGTTTAGTTTATAGTGATAGCAATGGCCTTTTATATTCACAGACAAAACCCAGCATAAGCAGTTAACTGAACAGTTCATTCAACTTTTCCCCTTAATGTATTAAACAGTGAGCTGTGGGCTACAAGTGGATTTTTCCCTTGTGTGCAGATGTTCAAGGCTAGGTTGAATTGTTTTGGAACCTTGTTCTAATAGAACTCATCTGTTTACATTGTAGAAAAATAATTTGAATTGAGTGAAGGTTTACAGAAAGAAATCATCAGTTTGCATCTAGGAAAATCATATACTTTGTTCCAACAAAGTAACAACATTAGATCTTCCACTCCATAGGCTGGAATGGTCCCAGATTTATTTAAGGCTCTTTTCATTTCTTTTAATAATTTTTATACCATTCACTGAACTGCAAGGTCAGTTTGAACAGCAAGGTGGACAGTCCAGTCCTCACCAGCCACTCTTCAAAATCCCTGTACAGGGTTCCTGTGAGTTGAAACCAACTCAGTGGCACTTAACAACAACAACATGCTGTTCCCTGTCCCCTTGTTTTGTTTGAACCACTGCCTCTTGGTCTATGTACAAGTTCCACATGAGCACAATTCAATGTTTTGGGATTCCCATTCTTCACAATGTTATCTATAGTTTGTTATGGTCCACACAGTCAAATGACTTAGCTTACTTAATAAAATGTAAGTAGACATCTTTCTCATATTCTCTGTTTTCAGCCAAGATCCATCTGAAGTCAGCAGTGATATTCCTTATTCTATGTCTTCTTCTAAATCCAGCTAGAATTTTTAGCAGCTCCTTGTCAATGTACTGCTGCAATCATATTTTAATTATCATCAGTAACATTTTACATGCATGTGACATTAATGATATGGTTCAGTCATTTCTGCATGCTGTTGGGTCACTTTTAGAATGGGCACAAATAGGGATCTCTTCCTGTCTCTTGGCCACATAGCTGGCTTCCAAATTTCATGGATGTCCAATGAGTGCTTCCAGTGCTGCGTCAGTTTGTTCAGATATTTATTTCAGTTGGTGTTCTGTCAACTCCCGGAGCCTTATTTTCTGTCTATGGCTTCAGCGCACCTTGGACTCATCCTACGACACCATCAGTTTTTGCTCCTATGCCGCCTCTTGAAGTGGTTGGACGCCCACCGACTCTTTTTGGTGCAGTGACTGTATATTCTTTCCGTATTCGTTCTATGCTTCCTTGTCACTCAGTACTCTGCCCGGCTTGTTGTTGTAAAGTGCTGTTCAGTCAGTTCTGACTCTTAGCAACCTTGTCTAGGGTTTCTGAGGAGTGGCTGTTGAGTTTGAATCACCAACCTCTCGGTTCACACTGACCTTTGTGCTCCAGTGCATTCTCCTACAGTGCCACACCAGAACTCCACTTTACCCATGTTGTGAAATGCCATCGAGTCGGTGCCAACCCACAGCAACCCTGGATAGGGTTTCCAAGGAGCGGCTGGTGAGCTTGAACCAAGCTTGCGATTCAGACAGACCTTGCGGTCCAGTGCACCACACCAGGACTCGCCATTTTGCCCCATATAACATTTCAATAGTACACCCTGAGGCTTGAATTTGTTCTTCAGTTCTTTCAGCTTGAGAAATGCTAAGCATGTTCTTCCCTTTTGGCTGTCTAATGTAATTTCAGCTCTTTGAACATTTCATTATAATATTTGCTTTGTCTTCTTGATCTGCCCTTTGAAGTTTTCTGTTCAGCCCTTTTATAGCATCATTTCTCCCAATCACTTTAGCTTCTCTGCCTTTAGCCCTTTCTTTCTAGTTTTTTTAATGACCTTTTGCTTTGTTTTTTAAACGTCTTATTGTGAATTGAGTGAAGGCTTACAGACAAGATAATCAGCTTGACATTCAACAAATCATGCATGTTGTTTCATCTCTGTGATTGCTATACCCATCACGTAACTGCAGGCACGCCGCTTCCTCCCTGTGACTCCCATCTCCCTTCTACCCAGATTCCCAGCCTTTCTACGTTTGTCCATAGGCACATGTTGCCCTTTAGATTTGGACGCATGGACCGGTCCATCATTCATAGGGGGCAAACCTTATTAGTGTTCTTGGTCCCTATATAGTGTTTACTGCCTGACTCAAAGTGGGCTGCCCACAAGGTGAGTTCCTTTCCACACCTGAAGAGTGGCCGAGGGCCATGTTGTCAGGTTCCTCCAGTCTCTCTGCCTAGTAAGTCCGGTGCTTTTCCTTTCTTTATATCTGATGGCCTTGACTTCATCCACAACTCCTTTGGTCTTTGGTCATTAGTGTTCAGTGTGTCATATGTGTTCAGGCCGGATATTGTCAATATCATATTATGTGTTTCATGGACTTGGTTTCATGGTCTGTTCCACATTGCCTCCTAGCCTTGTTTTGCCTGCTAATGTTTTACTTCTCCATTGTGTCTTTCCAAAATAAAAGGAAAAGAGGAAGATTGTCAATGAGATGGATTGACGCAGCGGCTATCCCACTGCGCTCAGACATAGCACGGGCTGCGGGGACAGTGAAGGACCCGGCAGTCTGTCCTTCTGTTGTACACACAGGGTCCTGTGACTGACAATGTGCAGAATGGTAACAAGATGGTCCGTTTACTTAAAGAGATCATTTTGCTCCTGTGTTCTCTATTTGGATACCTTTTTTTTTTTGCTCCTTTACTTACTTGCTCTAAGACTTCGGGTACAGTGTTGAATAGCCGTGAAGCAGAAGGAATCCTGTCCCTGATCTTAATGGGAAAGCTTTCAGTCTTTCTCCAGTGAGTATGCTGTGATTGTATTAAGTGCCATCAAGTTGGTTTCAGCTCATAGCAACCCCGTATAGGGTTTCTGAGGAGCAGATGGTGGGTTTGAACTGCCCACCTTGTGGTTCTCAG